ATAGCTTAACTTGAAGTACATGAGATCATTTAGTATTATTGTGCAAAAGGTTTTGGAGAATGCAGGTATTCTGAAGTTGGCAATGGTTTAAACATTTGAGCTTGTGTGGTTACGGGAAAATGAAATCTTGAAGTTCGTAGAAAATTTCAGCCATTAAAAGATGACCCTAAGAGATTGTTGTTTGTCGAGAAGTTGGTCAGGGATACTGGCGGATTTCAAGAAAAGAAAGAGTCAAGGTTCTGTTAAGGCGAGAGATATGAAATTGAGATTGTCAACTGGGGTGAACTGATCAAACGTTCTGTGCCCAAGATGAAGCCGAGTTCCATCGAGATCAAAAGGAGATAGAGTTCCTTCAAAGAAGAAAACGCATTGAATTGCATAATTGCATACATTTTAGGCATGAGTAGGATCATGGCATTCATAATCGCATGATGGCTTAAATATCTACAGGTTTCCCAGGGATAGTTGAAGATTGAAGATATGAAAGCATCGAGATGAAGATAACTGGTCTTGAGATTTTGACAAGAATGATGTTTATACGAAAATTGAGTCAAAGCAGATTCAAATATTCAATGGCTCCAGACAAGTTTTCACGATGGAGATGGATTTTCAAAAAATTTATCAACTTCTAAATTTTTTAGTATAATATTTTTCAAATATACATTCATGATGAATAATGTTTGATTTTCAGGTTTGACCTTTGAAGCAAATCATCTATAAGCCTTCACGAAAGAGTAGTGAAGCAAATTCGTTTGTTGAAGATTGAGTCCTATACTCTCTGAAAGAATAGGGAGCGGACAAGTTCGTTGAAGATTGAGTCCTATACTCTCTGAATGAATAGGGAGCGGACAAGTTCGTTGAAGATTGAGTCCTATACTCTCTAAATGAATAGGGAGCGGACAAGTTCGTTGAAGATTGAGTCCTATACTCTCTGAAGAAATAGGGAGCGGACAAGTTCGTTGAAGATTGTTCGAGTTCTATACTCTCTGAAGGAATAGAGAGCGGACCCGTTTTATGAAGATTGCTCGAGTCCTATACTCTCTGAAGGAATAGGGAGCGGACAAGTTCGTTGAAGATTGAGTCCTATACTCTCTGAATGAATAGGGAGCGTACAAGTTTGTTGAAGATTGTTCGAGTTCTATACTCTCTGAAGGAATAGAGAGCGGACCCGTTTCATGAAGATTGTTCGAGTTCTATACTCTCTGAAGGAATAGAGAGCGGACACGTTTGTTGAAGATTGTTCGAGTTCTATACTCTCTGAAGGAATAGAGAGCGGACCCGTTTTATGAAGATTGTTCGAGTTCTATACTCCCTGAATGAATAGGGAGCAGACACGTTTGCTGAAGATTGTTCGAGTCTTATACTCCCTGAACGAATAGGGAGAAAACTCGTTATTCGAAGATTTTTCAAGTCTTGCTTATCCTGAAGTAGCAGAGAAGCGGATTAATCTTTTGAAGTTCTAATGGTCGGACAAACTTGATCATCTATTGATCTTTGCTCTATTCTCGTTGCACGACAATGAGCAAAGAGGGGCAGCTGTAGATGCTCATTTTGTCCGAGCATATAGCAGGTTAGACAATTCGAATCAAGCCCAACATGATATTTAATCCAACACGTGCTCAGTTGGATTAGGCCACTAAGACAGGCAGTTTTGAGCAGGAAAAGAGAGGGAACGGTTTGTAGAGAGTGGGGGGTATTTTGAGTTATCAAAAAACTGTAAATGGAGGGGGAGGTCAGTTTTTTTAACTACTGGAAACCATCAGAAAGGGGATACTTCACGGGGACAGAACCAAAAAAAGAAAAAGGGGAGAGAACAAATAAAACAGGGAGGAAAGGATTGTAATTTTTTTTCGCAACTATTGGAGAGCAATAGAATACGGTATCCCAGTTTTTATTTGATTCACCATTTCTGATGAACAACACATCATTATCGTAAAAAATAAAAATAAAACACCAACAAGAGCAATCAACAGAAAAAGAGACAGCAACCAATCGAAAACAGTGAAATCAAAGGATCTTCTTCCCCTTCATTTTTTCATACAGAGCTACAACATATTTCTTTTTCGTTTTCCCTTAAGCAAGGTAAGTATTAAAACTCGTTTTTGTATATGAGGTATTTCTTTATATATAAAAAACCAGTGGAAATTTCTTGAGATATTCGATTTATTTTAAGTTCTAGTGCATGGTTATGTGAGTGTTTTGAAATATAAGTAAAATAAGGGAGGAAGTAGGGTCGATTTGGGTTAGCTTTTACCTCTATAGTTGTCGTGAGTGTTGGATTAGGAGGGCTCGGGCTTCATCGAGGGTTGCGAAAGCGTGGTGGTCTGCCGAGCATCGACGAGCTGTGGGATCTTGGTGTACATCCACCGTTTGTGAAGGGAGATAATCATAGAAGAGAGCAAGATGGCCATGGCAGCCGTTCGGTCGAATGGAAGAGAAGTAGAGAGGAAAGAAATAGGAAAAACGGCTGAGGGTTAGGTTTAGTATGAGTTTAGGATTAGGTTTAGTTTAAAGTAGGTTTTATGTTAGGTTATTAGGGCTAATTACTTTAAGGTCACTGCGTATGCCGTTGATTTCCATTTTGGTCCTGAAGCCGAGTATTGTTTGCTTCGTAATTTGGTCTTTAACTTTTATGCACATTTGATTTTAGTCCTAAATGCTAGGGTATTTATTTTCTCTTGTTTGCATATTCGGTCTTCTAGTTTTGCATGTTCTATTTTAGTCCATTTTGTGTGTTTAATTGAATTTTGCAATGATTGTGATTCTGGCTCATTACTTTAAAAAGTTTCTATTTTGACCCCATTATTTATTCAAGTTAATATCTTGTATTTTTACGTTTGGTATGTAATTATGTGAATATTTTTATTTTCGTCCATAGATTTAAATTTTAAATACTTTAGTCATAATTTAGACTTTTTAAATTAATTCTTTAAATTTAAATTTATTTTAATATAGTCCATTCTTAGATTTGTTTTTAAGTTAGTTGTTTATATCTACTTTGCATGTTATGCGAATGATTTATGGTGACCCACATGCCATCATTCTTTGTATGATTTGTATGATAGTCTCACCTGCATAACTCGACATACTCATAATCGAATTAAGGGTAATACACTTTTAATTTAAAATTGTTTTAAGTGGGCAGTCATAACTGATTTGAGGTCCGCTTTTAATGATTTTAAAATAAAAGTGTATCCCGAAAGTGAAACCAAAAAAAATTGATTCATCACCTAAAATTTGGGAACGAGAGAAAAAGAAATGTTCGTTTATTTAAATATATCGAGAAAAGGTTGTTATATCTTTAAGATCTGGTCTCGATATTTGTAAATAATCGAACATTCTTTATCTTTCTAAAACGACTTGGTAATTTTAATTTAATTATTTTGAGTATTTTTGAATATTATAAAATTCACTTTTTTGTTGTATTACGGGATCAAAAATTAAATTAAATTCGAATTTATAAAGTTCATTGCAAAGACGTTAATTAATCGGCTAGGTACCGATTTAGGGCATTGTGGGGGTGCTAATCCTTCCCCGCACGTAACCGACTCCCGAACTCGGATTTTGGTAACGCAGACCTTAATTTGTTGTTTTAATTAAAATTAATTTTTATTTAAAATAACAAGCATTTTTGGGTGCCCAATCACACCCTAATCAAAGATTGGTGGCGACTCTTTGAACTGTATTTTTTTTCTATCGTAAAGGAAATCCAAAATTTTTCGAAACGAGAGGTTTTCAAATCACATTTGTTTTTAAATTAAAAATCAATTGAAAGAGGTAAATTAAAAATTAATATGGCTTTTAAAATCTCACCTTCTTTCACCTTTAAGAAAAAAATCGTTTCGACATCTGGTTTTGATTATTGAATCAACACTGTAATTGTGTTACTGTGCATAATAGGCGTTGCCCTTTTATTTCATGTTGTCAAAGTGTTACATTCATTCTTTTTCGGCCTTTGTGGCCAATGGCATTTTTTTTTGTACTTGTTTTTTTCTTTAAAACATTTTGTGAAAAGTATCGAGTTTAGTGGAAAATATGGTAGTTCTGTCAAGCGGCAGGGAAATTTAAAGTTAGTATGTGGTGGGTTTTAATTGAAAATATTATTATGTCTACCCTAAAAAGTTGTACAATAAACTTACATATTAGCATCAATTCCATGGATATGATCGAGCAATGTATTGATTTCATGGAAATTGATGCCAATATTGCAAAATGGTTGTGTCTAAGACTTGGGTCATTTAAACTGAGCTTTGTTTGCAGGGGACATATTTAGCATTGTTTCTTTCTAATTAGACGGAAACAGACCCCATGTTGACATTGGACTAAGGCAACCAAGTCATCTAAATAAAAACCGAGGAAAAAGAAATGGCGTCGATTACGTGTCACTCTTGTTTTATTCTTTTAAAGGAGGACTAGCAAGACTATCTAGCGCACACTTAATACAGTTGTGTTTTTCTGTGCATAATTTCTGTAAATGAATTGGTGCGAGGACTAGAAGCATAAGTGAATTTGGTGCGAGAGCCATGCCATTGAATCGATAAATCAAGTTGGCATAGGTGTTTTAACAGTCTTCTTAACGCTTGTTTTTAGTTTTTACTCTGATGGTTTCATTTTGCCTATTATTTGTACGCTTCATTTAATAATTTTATTTAATGATTTCATTGATAAAAGAGAATATTCTACTTAGAAGATCTAGGTTTGCAGGGTGTGCACGAGGTCTTCTTAATGCTTGTTTTTTTCTTATTAAGGAGGCAATTCTCATTTATTCATGTTTATTATATTAAAAATCAATCTATGCAAAAGATTCACCAGTTTGGATTGCATGTTCCACTGTACCTTGCAATCATGCAGCCATGAATTCCTGAAATAACCATTCTTTAAGGCACCATAACCGTTTGTTTGATGAATAGAAGCATAACCAGTAAATTTAAACCATTCAAGTCACACAGGTAGAGGCACGTAAAATGATCGAGATCATACTTACTATTAAGACAAAAGACAATACAATGATTGTATCTTATAACGAAGGGATCATGCATACGTAGAAATATGCATGAAATATTGTAAGATTGTCAGTACAAAGAATGTTGGAGCACATCAGAAGCAAAAAAAAAACGTGGCTAAAAATAATTAGGGGGAATGTTATTTTAACTAATGAAGTAGAGACATCAAACCTTATGGGGAAATGAATGATACATGGAAGAACAGGGATCATTGGAGATTGCCCAAAACTCAGTTTGACTTACATCTTCCTAACTCAGCCTCCCTAAGTTATGGTGGTCATGATTTCAATTGATCATATATCCATGGTCATCTTCCCGTCTTCGCCCGCTTCATTCCTGTACTGTTAAAGGGTGACATACTAGGGCTCATGCTCGGACTCTCTTCCCTTAAGGTACCATTCAGCAAAACCAACTCCCTAAGCTGCTGTTTCTTACAGCCATCTAAGGATTCATCCTGAAAATGGTGGAATGGAGGGATTAGAGAACAGAAATGGAAGGGTAATATAAAATATCAAAAATTGCTTTTTGTTCATTCCACAGGCTTCAGAAGGTTTTCTAGTATTGCAACCGCATACTCCAAACGAGCATTTACCATGTCCTCGGGAAATTCAACCTCCACCAGCACATGCAGTGGCTCATTAAGATGTTCGTATCCGGGTTTATCCTTCAGCTTCTCCTCCTATAGAAAAGTCAGCAGCCAGTTGTGACTTGAGAGAAATTAACACAAGCAAAGCAGAAAAGCAAGGGTAAACTTTTTCTATATTTAAGCTGAAAATGTCAGAACTTGCTTATGCATCATTCTATTTAACAAGTTAGTTTATTTGGTAAAGGTGGGCCATTGCATTGATTGCTAACGATAGTTACTAGCACAAAAATGTAAAAGATTGAGGTTCCATTTGTTTGATGCTTTTACTTTTTGCTTTTGTTGTAATATAAAAGTCAAGCTTGGAATATATGAACTAAAAATGAGTGATAAACAGCAAAAGGCCCTAATGGAGTTCAAATAAACATGATACCAATATTGGTTGCAAAGTACATCAAATGCAATCGGAGATGCAAATTACCAGAAAATGTGACACTAGATAAGCAATTTTCACATCGCCTACAATTTAAAATTCCAGCATAACATTGATTAAGAGGAAAAAAATTGGGAAAAAATAGGTTATCATTCTCCTAAGCCTAGCTTGACAACCAGCCACATTCCAGCATTCAAGAGAAAGTAGATAAATACTTCCATAGTTCCATTATAATAAGAATCTGTACAAATGGTTGACCAAGGAGTGGCTCAAGACTCAACTACACAGTTATACCAAAATTACGTGTCGGAAAAAAAATTAAAATGATTGACTATACCTTTGCAGAATCCTTTACAGAACCCTTGCCTCTTATGTACACCCTACACTCTGTCATGGCTTCAACTCTCTTTAGGGAGTTTCCTCGTGGTCCTAAGATTCGGCCAACAAAGTTATACTGCAAGAACTGACTCAGAACTATTATCTTAAAAAAGAAGAAAATGAAAACTCAAAAATTTGAAGATAACTTACATTTGGATATTTATCCACAGGTACATCAAGTCTAACAACTCTCTTTACAATTGGTGTTGAAGGGGCTCTTGGCAAACCAGGCCAACCCATTGATGCAGCTTGAACTGGAGCAACTCGTTGCATGTGCCCATTTTCCTAAAACAAGATAAACACATTAAAGGAATTTCCTCTTCCTTTCATTTAACATTAATGAGAAGCACAATATTAAGCCTAAGAATAAATTACATTGGGGGACAACAGGGATATTGAAATTTCTTAAACTGATAAGTAACTGCAAAGTTTGCTACAATAGTAATTTTAAAAACAATTTGGCATGCTTAAACAGTATTACCTCTGTTTGCATTACAGACCATCCCTCCAAATCCATCTGTCTCCCACTGGGGTGCTGACCCAATGCCCTGAAAGGACTATCATGCTCAAGTCTCTCATGATCCACAAAACTAGGAGTAAGTCCCCAGACCCTTCCGATCTCTGCAGTTAAATAAGAAAAAATAAAACACTTGTATGTTGTCAAAACTACCTCAGTGACAAAAGTGGACATTTGGGGTTTGTTTGTGGCATAGGCTACGTGTTTGGTAGAACTCTCTGAAGGCATGCTCTCCGGTAGTCCGGTATGCTTATTTTAATTTTTAAAAGCACATAGATAGAACCATCTAGTCTAAGAACACTTCAGCCTTTAATAATTTAACATCGCATGTTGCCAGTTTAAAGTTATAAAGGTCGACTTCAGCTAGGTGAGCAGCTAGGTGGGTCCTATGGAATGCACCTTCCAAGGTTGTTAGAAAATTCTGATAAGGCGGGATGCACCTTCTAGTGGTATCATCGGTATCAGACAGTTTTCAGCTAAGGCGCTTCCCACCAACTGTATTTTACCCTCTGATCCTCCTAAAGTGCGTTTCACTGAACGTGTCTCATTCTCTTAGGTGTTAGATCAAACAATATTTAAGAAACGAAGACTGACAGATAATATTTTATTTATAGAGTGCTTTTTTTGAAAAAAAAATCCTGTAAAAAGACACAGAAATAAATTATCATATCATTCTATCCTTATGAGAATGTGAAACTAAAATGAATAATATTTATTAAAATTTAATGAGAAGTGAGATAAAACTCTTTCAATTATAATTATTTCCTAAGATTTAAATTTAAGATATTATCTCAATAATATCTAATTTTCTATTGTTTGATACAAAATGTATTATTTTGTGACCAATAATTACAATTAAAAGATATTGACTTTGAATTTTAAGTTGGTGTAATATACTAGTTATAAAATTAATGTCAATGATGTCACTAGACCAATATGTAAGGAGAGAAGAAACACATAAAACTTTATGCTTGGTAAAAGTTTTCAAAAAAATGTAGTTTTAAAAAATATTTTATAATTTTAAAAATAAATTATATACTTTTATTTTTTAAATTATTAGTTACAAATGTTAAATGTTATAATAAAATTATAATTAAGAATAAACGAGATAATAATGTCATTTTTTATCAATCAAATATTTAGTATCTATTTTACAACTCTAAAACAAAATTCAATACCTAAAAACTTTACATGTAAAGTATAGGACCTGAACCTGATTAATAGGGTATTTTTTTTTTTGAGTTTTTTAATTATTATAAAATATAAAATAATTCTCAATTATAAGATACTATTTTGTTGAGTCTCCGATAATTAAAAATTATAAAATAATCACTCGACTATTCATATGTTTCAAATTCGTCATTTTTCGTTAAAAAATTAACGATCGTCTAAGTTAGACGATAATATGCTCATTGTGATATGATAAAGATCTGACCTTAGAACTATTTGAGTTGTATTTTGTAGATTGAAGCTTTGTTTACATTATGTCATCGAGTCAGTGTTTGAAAGTAACAACAGTGTCAATATAAAATTAAAATATAATTTTATTATATTTCAGTCAGTATGTTAACGTCTAATTTAGACAATCGTTAATTTTTTAACAAAAAGATACGAGTGTAGAACATATAAATAATCACATAATTATTTTATAATATTTAATAGTTTGATTACTCCACAAATTAACATTTTATTATAAAAATTCTTTTAATAATTTTTAATAATTGAAAAATTCAACAAAAATAATATAATATACATGTGTATTTTATCCAAAAATTAAATTATCGTATAACTCGTGTTCACTGGTGCCCCCGCGATGACAATGGATTTCGAAACGTTGGCGGCAAAGCCCTCCGTCGCCTCGCCTTACGATCATCTCTCCCAAGCGCTTGCTTTAATTCCCATCTCACATTATTTCTTTGTCGCTCTCTTTATTTCCATCGCATTTCTATAGAGTTTTCTGGAGATTCATTTTCTTCACCATTTACGCACTCTTTTCAGAGGCGACCCTGTTACTTTGACGTACAACTCTTGCTCCCACCTATGCCAATCACTCGTTTCCAACTGTACGATTCTTCGCGGGAGGTAAATATAATACTAATCATTTCTTTCTATATTTAAACATTTCCATCAGTACGTTAAAGAATCGAATTTAAAACTTTCGTTCCTAGTTTGTTTTTCCTATGTAATTTGTGAAATGATGGAACAGGTACTCCGCCGCTCCATGGCTTTCTAGTCCTCATCTTCAGACAACTTTCTTGAGTCTTTTCGGAAAGGCTCCTTCAGTTACTTATAGACGGTTAGTTCATTTCCTTTACGATTTTTGTTTGGATTAACATACAAAGTGTTTATTATTCTTAGACAATTGTTCATTGCTTTGGATGGTGGAACGATTGCTCTGGACTGGCCAACTTATTCTGATGGTCAGTATTTTTTTTCTTCGTAGTGGCGTGATTTTATTTTGTTTATTTTAGATTTGTGATATGGCCTAATTTTCGATATTATGTATTACAGTCGCGGAGGGTAGCTCCCGCGTGATTGATGATTCAGCTGCTATTAAACGTGATAAAACTCCGATCGTGATTGTGATTCCTGGTTTAACCAGCGATTCTTCTTCTCCTGCAAGTTCAAATCATTCTTTTTTCTTTACAGGTTTATCTCATTTGTTTCCTTTGAAGTACTTAAGAAGTTTGGCTGTGGACAGTATGCGAAGCATCTTGCATTCAACTTGGCAAGAAGCAGTTGGAATGTTGTAAGCAACAATCGTGGGCTGGGAGGTGTATCACTCACAGTGAGTTTGTTGTGGGACTATTTTTTGCTTAGATTCTTCTATTCATCTAGCTCTTATGAGAAATTAACATCTTCACATTTGCGAACTCCAGTAGCTCACATGGTTCATTTCTTTTGTAACATTTATTTTCAGTCTGATTGCTTTTATAACGCTGGATGGACAGAGGAACTGCGGAAAATCATTAACCATATTCATTGTGAATATCCTGAAGCTCCTTTATTTGCCGTTGGAACTAGCATTGGCGCCAATATTTTGCTAAATTAATTTTTCCAGGGCTTTGATTTTTATGTTAATGGCCACCATAAAAATTTTTAAGTCTTGGAACTTGAATGTCATTGTCAAAAGTTTCCTTGGAAGTGATAATGCTTTTAATCATCATTTCGCTAACTGCTCCAGCTTTGAGCATCTATGCAATTAAGCAGAATTGATATAAACTTTTACGTTAATGTTTACCTTTTTGTTGGTGTGCTCCAGCAGGTTCAATAAAAGAAATGTCAATTATGATCTTGAGTTGAATTTTGATTCCCTGTTTGGAGGATGAGTCAGTTAATCCATTTGATCAGTAACGTTGTAGTTATCCCTTTTGATGCTCTCTAGATAGCAGTGAACAATATTTTTTTTTCCTGTAAAAACAATTGTGGTTAAGAAGATCCATCCTGTTCATAGGAATGTCTGTCCTGTTTGACAAATTGTTTTACATGTTGGCGAATTCTAATATATTTTTATTTCCACATATCGGGTTGTTATGTATATTGTTTCCAAGGCCAAATTTATGTTTCCTCCTCACTAAGATCGAGTTTCACTTTCAGGTTAAATATCTTGGAGAGGATGGGACTAACACTCTTCTTTACGGGGCTGCAGCTATATGCTCCCCTTGGGACCTCTTGGTTAGTATATCTCTGTCTATCATACCAAAAAATTTCTTACCTCCCTTTGATCAGCAATTTTCAGTTTTAGAGGGTTGAATCTAAGCTATACTTTTCTTTCTCCTTTTACCCCTCCCCATTTCTCTTTGTTAGATTCGATCACACGAATGACAAGACATACTTTTCCTTACATTGGAGGGGTAAAGAGGATAATCGAGAACTAATAATAATAAGAAAACTTGGCTCTTGATAGGATCCCTGTGTTGGGTTAATTGCTCCTTAAAGCCCCATTTGATAAACAGGGAAAGTTATCCGCTATTTGATTAATTTGGTGCCACATGACCTAACCTTTAACTGCTGCATCATCTTAAATGTCAACAGTTCTTATTGCAGATATAAAGGTAGAACCTTTTACTGCTGCCACTATTATGAAGTTTATCAAGGATGGCTGAAGTGGCGGCAGTATGATCACTTTCTGATTAAACATCTGTTACAAATGGTATGTTTTAAATTGATTCTTTGCAGATATGTGACAGATTCATCAACCGTAGATCCGTGCAGAAGATATGTGACAGAGTCCTAACACTTGGCCTGCAAGGTTATGCACAATTTTATGTCTGCATTACTTCATTTGCAGTATCAGTTTACCTGCTTTAGAGTTTGTCTTTACATGATTATACTTTATGCTTTCATATAGGCATCAGTCTATCTTGTCCCGTCTTGCAGATTGTGAACGCATTAAAAAGGTACTAAATTTTGTTCATCTATAAATAAAAAGCAACCTAGCCGATCACATAACTGAAGCCTTTTAGAGGGATAATACTAATAATCTCTTGCACTAAATGAAGAAATTCCTCATCTAGCATTTTCTTTTCGTTAGTCCTAACAGTGTTTGATTATTTTTCCCTTTTCCTAATGAAAGGTCTCCTAATTGTTCTCTTTATTCTGTTCTCACAGTCAAGTTCTGTAAGGGACTTTGATAACCATGCTACCCGTGTTCTTGGAAAGTTTGAGGTAAAATATTATTATTTCATCTTCTTTCCACACTTCCAATTACTAATTAAGGGTCAGCTTGCGTTCTAGACTGTGGATACATTTTATAGGCGGTCAAGCAGCATTAATTATGTAGAACATGTGTCGGTACCTCTCCTCTGCATCAGTGCCTTAGATGATCCTGTGTGTACCAGCGAAGCTATTCCATGGGACGAATGTAGGTAGGAATTCACCTTTGATGCTATACCTCTCTATAAAAGCCTTTTCCCATTTCACTGGGGAACTTAGTCAAATAAACAGTTTATCTATTTCCTGGGGAGTCAAATAACAAGCTATTTGATTCCTTGTTGTAATTGTAGATTTATACGTACTAAATTGTACTTCCACTATAATATCCTATTTATTTAAGCATCACATATTAGGTTGAATGAGCTCTTTACGGCCGTGATGGATTGAAGGAGAGCAGGTGGGGCGACTGTCCCTTAAATTTTTGAATTCTATATATTTTATATATTTTCTTTGTATCTTCTATTGATATTCTATTTTCGTCTTTTAAAATTTTATAAGTTCACCCCTAACAT